GCTACTTTTCTTGTAGGTTCAGAAAGCAACGTTAGGCAGTGGGGGCCGTGGCCCGCAGGCCCCGTCTGTCCCTCGGGGCCCTGCTGTTTCGGTGTGGCGAGCGCGCCCTGTGTGAGCCTTGGCGGCTGGAAGACAGGTCGTGGCGGCCGTGGCCCGCAGGCCAGGTCCGTCCCTCAGGACCCAGCATGCTGTTTTGGCGTGGCAATCGCGCCGTGTGTGAGCTTTGACGGCTGGAAGACAGGTCAGACAGCTAGCTTTCTTGTAGGTTCAGAAAGCAACGTTAGGCAGTGGGGGCCGTGGCCCGCAGACCCGGTCCGTCCCTCAGGGCCCTGCTGTTTCGGTGTGGCGAGCGCGCCGTGTTTGAGCCTTGGCGGCTGGAAGACAGCTAAGAGAGTTAGTTTTCTTGTAGGTGCAGAAAGCAACGTTCGGCACTGGGGGCCGTGGCCCGTAGGCCCGGTCCGTCCCTCAGGGCCTTGCTGTTTGGCTGTGGCGGAGGCGCCGTTTTAGGTCAGACAGCTAGTTTTCTTGTAGGTTCAGAAAGCAACGTTAGGCAGTGGGGGCCGTGGCCCGCAGGCCCCGTCCATCCCTCGGGGCCCTGCTGTTTCGGTGTGGCGAGCGCGCCCTGTGTGAGCCTTGCCGGCTGGAAGACAGGTCGTGGCGGCCGTGGCCCGCAGGCCCGGTCCGTCCCTCAGGACCGTGTTGTTTTGGCGTGGCAATCGCGCCGTGTGTGAGCTTTGGCGGCTGGAAGACAGGTCAGGCAGCTTGCTTTCTTGTAGGTTCAGAAAGCAACGTTAGGCAGTGGGGGCCGTGGCCCGCAGGCCCGACTTTAGGCACTGAGGGCGGTGGCCTGCAGGCCCGGTCTGTCCTTCAGGGCCCTCCTGTTTCGGCGTGGCGAGCGCGCAGGGTTCTGTTGTTTGGTGAAGGCTCCGTTTGTGATCAGTTCTGCACGGGCCATCGGTCGGTGCGACACTGCTTTCCGTTGGGCGTGCGATGCGTTATTTGAATTTGACCGGAAGCTTTTGTTGAATGCACCACTGTGCCGCATGTTGGACATGTGTGCGCAAGTGTATACGGCCTGCAAGCAGGCGATTCGCAACGCGAAATTTTTTGCCGCAGCCATCACCGCGGCGGTAATAGACTTGCCCTGTTGCCACAGTGCTTTGCACAGATTTGGCGCAATGCGGGCAGAGGTATGTTATAGATGATTTGGCAAGTGCTCACCAGCAAAGGTATGTGTACACCCGCGGCGTCGCTGTGTCGGGCTCCGCAGCAAGCTGCTGGGTCGATGAATGGGCAACACCCGTTCTGGTTTCGTCTGTTCCCATCGACGTTTGTCTAGCCTCGTGGATTTTCTGAATCTCCTTGCAAACGTCTGCTAGGATTGCTTCGTGTCGTTGACGGGATTCGCGTTGGCGCAAGCGGGCCAAGCGTTGATTCGTGCGATGAGCAAGACGACACACGAAGGCAAAGGCTGTGCATGCATTGCATACTTGTGTACCATCCTGCGTATGTTTCCGACTTTGCTGCCAAGCTGTGAACTCTGCTCGTGGCTTGCGTTCGCTGCACTGGGAACATTGCCAACACCCCCGCTGTTTGGTGGTACATTCTCTGCAGCAGCGGCGGTCCGCGTTGCGAGCTTTCCATGCGGCCGGTCCAAATTCGGCTTCCGGTTTTGCAACGCCACATTTGAAACACGGTTTCTTCATTTCACATGTCAAACACACACGGAAAAAACTACATTGCCGTTGGCGGTGCTTTTCCGGAAAATTGGTCTCGACATGCCACAGCTTGCACACGTTGCATTGCCATGGCGTCCCGGCATCTGCGTAATGCTTTGTGCATTCGCGACAAACGCGATCTTTGTCGTCGCGCTTCCACTGGCCAGCGGTGAAAGCTGTAGATGGCTTGCGCTCTGCGCAGGTTGAACACGCGCGTTCTTCACAATATTTGGCCAGCAAGTCCTGCCAATTGATCGGTTCCCTGCGAAGATGTCGGAGCAGCAGGTCCCGCCCTAAACCAATACCTTTCTGGAATGGAGCGGCGTCAAAAGGTCGAAAAATCAGGAGTTTCTCACGGCCTTGCACGCGGGTAACGGCGACGTAGACGGTAAATGGATTTCCCCTTGGCCCTATGCAAAGATCTGTCGTCACGCCTTCCTTGATGGTTTGGCCTTGTGCGACATGCGCTGTGATAGCAAACTGCGGCGCCAGCGGGAATTGTGTGCGTGAGACACGGAGCTTGGGGCTTCGACGTTGCCGGTCCAAGTACCACACGCGTCTACAGGTCACAACTGGGTAGACGTTTGCGTCCGGGACACCGGATATTTGCCACGACGTGGCGGTGTCAAACTTCACGTATACCACGGCCGGCAGGTTGTTGCACACCATTCCTTCGGGTGCAGGTGTCGCATCGGCAATCGCAGACCAACCGACTACATAGCCCTTGGTGCCTTTCAGGATTCCACGCTTGCGGTCTAGGTGGTCTGTGGCCCGAACATGCAGGCATGCCCACGCACAGCGGCAAGACGCCATACAGCCCACCGCATTCCTTGTCGTGTCGCTGCAACCACTGCAATTTCTCGGCCGTCAGATTCGGCTTTTCTTGGAGGACCGCTGCACCACTAGAAGTACAATAAGCACCTAGTGGAAGTAGAACCGGTCTTACAAGCCTCCAAGGTGCACTTGCAATATTGCGAGTAGCTAGTCAACTAGTTACATTTGTCCAACAACCGAAGCACACGGAGAACGTGAGCCAGCACCAGCAGCGAGAGCACGACCAGCAGGAGCAGTAGCAGCAGCTCCTGGGAGGATAATCACTAGTAGTGGCGGCGGCAGCAGCAGCGGAGGCAGTGGAGGCAGCAGTAGAAGCAACGGTAGTAGCGATGGGAGTAGCAGTACGACGACCAGAAGCAGTATATATTAGGATAAAAAGCATCGTTAAGGCCAGCATCAGTCTTTCTTCAACGAGAAAGGGGTATGGATCTGGGGTATGGATCAAGGGTATGGATCAAAGTATGGATCGGGGGGTATGGATCGTGTGTAGCTTTGGCGCCTTGATCCATACCTTGTATTTTGACTCGTACCCATATAGTTTTCTTGTAGGTTCCGGAAGTGACGTATGTGTCAACTCCCCCTCTCTCCCAGGGGTCGGCGGCAGGGGGCGTAGCCCCTTAATATATATATATATATATATATATATTACAGATACATGACACACATATATATATAATAATAATAATAATAATTATTATTATTATATATATATGTGCGTGTGTGTTATACATACAAACTTGGCTCAGTATTGGCCACCCTCTTGAGACCGCCGAGATGGCAGCTTCACCGTTGCCACCCTTGGAGCACCCCGAGCACCTCGGGCGCTTGGCCGCCAGCCACTTCCATAGGCTTCGAGGACGTCAGCTGCTGCGAGAGACGCTGACGGGCAAGGCGAGGCCATGAGGAAAGGCGCTGCAACTGCCTTTGGAGCTTTGGGCTCCGGTCAAGGATTGGAGATGTTGAGGCCTTACCATGTTAAACCCTCTGGTGATGTCACCAGAAGCCATGGAACATGTTTTTTTTTGGCTGACCATGTGATAACATGCCATTTTGAAGAGGTGAATTGAAGTAAATGGGCCATGTTTTCCATAGCAAACTGTACATTACCGGAGGGGAATCATCAAAAATGGTCAAGAAGGGGATCTAACATGATCTCGCCGTGAATATCAAAATAAATGGCGATGAGATATCAATCGATAGGTTTTTATTTTTTATTTTATATAAAATATATAAAGTACTAGGCAGAAACTTAAGTACTTCACCGAACCTGGTTTGTGAAATTTAGCAATGGTAATGGACAAAATTCCAATGTGTTCTCCAATTTTCTCAATCTGTTTGTTTTTCCATGTTTTGTTTTTGTAATTTTTCTTTGCCATGTCAAAACGCCGCAGGGAAACCATGAAAAATGTGTTCTGAAAGCGGATCGAATGGATGGGAAAAAAATGGTAGAAGGGGGAAGCTAGGACAGGTCAGGTGGGAGGCTGTTATGTTTTTGTTCAATGTTGCAAATCTAAATGTTTGACTGTTTCTTTCTGTTAATCTTGCTAAATGTTTCGTCGGAGTTGTTTGATTAATGTTTGGTTTGGATGAGGGTAGGGTATGTTGAGGTTGTTGTGGTTGTACTGTAACATATATAGCAATATAACCCAAAAGAAACAGTCAAACATTTCAGATTACATGATTGAACAAAAACATAACAGCCTCCCACCTGACCTACAACCTGTCTTGTCCTAGCTTCCCCCTTCTACCATTTTTTATGGGATATCGATAACCATCTGGATGATTCATATTGGGATGAAAAATGCTTAATCTTAAATGTGTCCAGATCATCCAGATGTGAAATATGTCAAAGTCACAGTGTGGTCGCTTTAATTTTATCATGTATTTTGTTGAAATCATTCAAATGCCAACAGGTGTTTGATTTTGATTGCTAATACTGCTGAATAACATATGTTTAAACATCTTCAATACGTCATCCTAAATGGTATGGATTATGGATCCAAATACTTTCCGAGAAGGTACTTCACCGGCAACTCATACTCCAAGAGCGCCCTCAGAGGGCACTTGGGAACAAACTATGTTATACAAAACCAATGAAAGTGCCACAACAAATGGTTAGTAGCAAGATTACATCAAAAATCAACTAAAACCATCTAAAACCTATATCAACAAATGTAAAGACCTACATGCGCATGAAAAAACCCAAATAAATAAGAACTAATAATTTAATGATAAACTATAGTTCAAACATAACAAATAAACAATGACAGTAAACATCTCGAAAGGACCTTTTTAAAAAACAGGTTTTTCCAACGACCTTCCAAGGCGCCCGAAGTGTTTCACCAAGGCCTCCGTCGCTTCCACGGTGCGGATTGGCACCGCATCCAGGCGCTGCTCTGCGATGCCCTTGGCGCGCAGGGACTGGAAGACGTCGCCCAAATGCTGAAGCTCAACCTGTCACTGGTGTCATTTCACATCATTTCAGTGGAATGATCTATAAAATGTGACCTGAATCTGTCATGGAATAGGCGGAATAGTGGAATATCATGGAATAGTGGAATTTCATCAAGTATCTAATCTATATTGTAAAATGTTACCTGAATCTTGAATCATGGAATAGTGGAATATCATGGAAAAATACATGGAATGTTGGGGAATGTTGGGGAATGTTGGGGAATATCATGGAATATCATGGAATATCTATTATAAAATGTGACCTGAATCTGTCATGGAATAGGCGGAATAGTGGAATATCATGGAATAGTGGAATTTCATCAAGTATCTAAGTATCTATATTGTAAAATGTTACCTGAATCTATCATTGAATCATGGAATAGTGGAATATCATGGGAAAATACATGGAATGTTGGGGAATGTTGGGGAATATCATGGAATATCATGGAATATCTATTATAAAATGTGACCTGAATCTGTCATGGAATAGGCGGAATAGTGGAATATCATGGAATAGTGGAATTTCATCAAGTATCTAAGTATCTATATTGTAAAATGTTACCTGAATCTTCAATCATGGAGTAGTGGAATATCATGGAAAAATACATGGAATGTTGGGGAATGTTGGGGAATATCATCGAATATCATGGAATATCTATTATAAAATGTGACCTGAATCATGTTCAAGGTTGCAGGATTTGCTTCATGGAAACCAAGAGAAAGTTAATATGAGAATTAGAGGAAAGGTCAAGGAAAACTTGAGAAAACTAGAAAATAATTAGACACAGTGGAACATTAGAGGAAAGGCCATGGAAAAACTACAGAAAAAAACGTGGAAAATTAGAGGAGATTTCCGTGGAACATGAAAGTTTGGAAGGGCTAAGAAAACAATATATGCATATATAATCATATATATATAAAGATGAAGACTTAACTTAACCGGCAAAAATTGGAACCATCCCAATGCATGATATCACGGTCAGAAATGGGGATCTCTCTCTTTCTGATTTCCTTTGGGTTTTAGCAAGGTATGACCAAGTTAGTGGAACTGAAAAACAATGACAGGAAAACAATGGTAAATTAGGGGAAAAACATGGGACAGCAAACATATCAAAGGGAAACCATGGTATTTTTTTTTCAAGGGGTTCCAGCTAAACATGACACACAGGTTCCAGCGATCATTGAATCAAGCCCTGGGGGATGGTGGAGCAGTGGAGATCAGAGTGGCCAAGCGACAGAGTTGAAGAACTCTGCCAGCTGCTGATCCGTCACCACTTCCAACTGCCCAAATGGCAACTTCACCAGGGTCGCAACCAGGAGAGTGGCAGCACTTCCGGAGTCGAAGCAGTTCCTATCCGACTCATAGTTGTTGAGATCTGGGAGCATAGGGGAGCAAGGCTACATGGCAGGAGATGATGAGATGATATCAGATTCTCATGTTGATTCAGACTTGGGGATGGAATCAAACCAAATGTTTTTCATTGTTTTTCCATCAATTTACAAAATATGGGAAGGGCTGCAGGTCCATTTTTCAGCTATTTTGGGGTTCATCACGGTATCAGGGTTTTGACCCAGACCTATAGTAACTCAGACTAAGGTGTCAGACATTGTAGAAGATGTGCCCCGAACAAATCTCTCTCTCTGTCTCTCTCTCTCTCTCTCTTTCTCTTTTTTTCTCGTCTAGTCTAGGGCCTAGGGCATTTACACTCTTGCTCGTTCCCAGCCGTTCCTTGCTGGCTGGCCCAGCAATCCTATACACAGCCACAAATCTGCAACTGAGTTTCATCAGTTGAATGGTCGTCCCCAAAACTTGTGGCCAGAGATGCTCTCCACGTCTTGATGCTCCTTGGTGCATCAGAATCTCCACTGGTTCGGGAAGCAAACCAAGCAAACAAAATATCAGATTGTGCACATCCCACAACTCACCATAACACTAAAAAGATCTAAAGCGTGCGTGATTTCTTGGGGAAAGCAATCTTCCGGACCCAATTCTCTTGAGGTCCATGTTGATCGTCAACGAGGAATGTCTCATGCAAGAAAAGCAGGACGATCTGCTTTGGTGAATGTCAGCCATGTCCCAATCAAAATTGTTTGAACGCGGTCCAACATGAAACAAATGCGTAAACCGTTAAACATGTCTTGACACCTAGTAAGGTGTGGTGACGAACTTGTAAAGTTGACCCTTGGTGCCTCCCCAAGTGTCTTGACACTCAACGATATTTTTTGATATCATCATCATCATCATCATCATCATCATCATCATCATCACCATCACCATCATCATCATCATCATCATCATCATCATCAACAAGCTCTAAACTTTGAACATATCGACATATTGTACATAATGACATCTCTCCAATGTGTGAGACCTTCAATCTGGACTGCCACGCCAAGCATCTTTCTGCCAGCCGGGCCAGCAAGGCGCCCCACTGTTCCGGCAACCCGTCAGGCGGTTTCCGGCGCGGTGCTGGAAGCCATTGCCCCAGCGCTCGCAGCATGTCTTCCGGTGCCATTTTCCGGGAGAGGCCCTTAACAATGGCCAACCTTGGGAGGAAGAATCCTGGATCCTAGAAAGATGTAGAAAGATGAGTTTGATGTAGTTTTTTCCCACCTGGAATGACCTGGATGACCAAGATCTATTGAGAGACACAATTGGCCAGGCTTCAGTCTCAAGGCCTGGGGAAAGGTGAAGTTAAATTTCTGCTATTTACTGTATACCTGCTGAACTTTCCTGAGCTCCTTCCTTCCACCTTTGTGTTTGACTTCATGTTTGACACATTCTGAAGCCACCCAACTCAGTTCCACTTGAGCTCCGCTTGAACCCCTTGACTCCACCAGGTGACGTCAGTGGCTCCACCAGCCACCGGCCTTGGCTCCGTTGCTCCCGCTGCATCAGCCGCAGGGCATCCTCTGGGGACGCACTGACGGCCACAGAGGCCACCCGCGCCAGCTGCTGCGGAGGCCAAGGTGGTGGCAGCTGTAGGAGGAGCTCCAGGCATAGCCTCTGGCTTCGTTGGATGTTGGAAGATGGGGTGTTGGACGATTTGTCTTCAGAAGGCTCCTGGCTTGCGGTAGTGCCACTATCGATTTCTGGGCAAATGATGGCCTTTGAAAAATCTGGACGCAAACATGGTGGAAGCAGTTCACAAAGTCTTCTTTACCAGCGATGTGCAAGACCTGGGATGTGTGACAGAAACGGATACCTTGTCTGAAACAAAGGTGCCATCAAGGCGCCATCTTCCGGTTCCACAACAGATCCACCCAACAACACTTCCCTGAATGCCAAGTCCAAGCTGCCCGGGCATGCGACAAGCCATGGAAAAAGCAGCCTTGAAGGGCAACGATCTCAGCAAAAGCGGCCATTGTTCACGCACCAGTTCTGGCCTCGACTGGTTCGGCGGAGGATACAATGGCCACATTCACAAGGCACCCGGGTGCTCAAGTGGCGACCTCTGAAGTGGTGGCAAAATTGGGGCTGCTGGATGTCACGTGCCGTGTGCACTGTGATATACTGTGGGTTATTGTGATTGTGTGATTCTATCAATTGATTTAGTTGCAAGTCTCTCCGCTACTTTCGCATACCCGAAGCGACACATAAGTTCACATCAGCAACAAAAACACCTGCGACAAACGGATTCTCTCAGAAGCTGAACGGTTCCCCGAGTTGATACAAGGGGATCAAGATGCATTGGACACGAAACCATGATGCGTTTAACCGTCTATTTCCATACATGGACCTGGATAAAGGACACATCATTTATATCAAACCTATTTCATGTGCTGACGGTTTTTATCCAAGTACGAGTATCATCCAAGATAGTCGAATTGCATCTCAAAAAATCACAGGGTTGTTTGATGTTGTTTGATGGTTTTTGCATTCCCGTTTTAAACTTCAAACATTAATCACCCCCGAGATTTCTGCCAGTATTCTTGAGATGTACCCTATACAAATATAGGATAGCTGCAACAAATTGCACAATCTTTTCAGCTAACGCATGGGATCGCATGAGGGACGAAAAAAAAATCTCAGAAAAACTGCAGATCTCGGAAATTCTTCAAACCTCCGCTATGATGCGCCATGGCACTCCTTGGCCGCCTTCAACAGTATCCGCGCCGCCGTCCGCCGCGCCCCTAGGCCCTTGAGGTTCAGCAAAGTCAGCGACGTTGGCAGGGCGCTGTGGCCGAGGCGCGCCAGGGATGCCAGGGCTGCATGGCGGCAGGAGGAACTCAAAGGGCTGGGCTCCTGAATGGCTTGCAAACAGTCCGATTTTGTTTGGGGTTTATAACTATATATATATATTATATTTTTTTGATTGCTTTGATTGATAGGTAGATAGATCGGAAGATAGACACATCGATAGATAGACAGCAACCAAACAAAAACAACAAAGTAACTTGTTCCAAACCACCGTTCACCGCTCCTCCCCGGCTTCCGGAGAGATGAGGCGCAGCAACTTTGCTGGATCCAGTTTTAGCAGCGCGGTGCTGGCGCGGATGCGAACGGCATGGGAGGAGGAAGTGGTCAAGATCTCCTGGAGCGGGGCTGACTGCCCTTATGCCGCGCTTTCGCGAACCTTTCGCGCCCTTTCGCGCCCCAGCTGACATGGGATTATGATCAGGTTTTCGCTTGTTTATAGGTTTGTAAATAGTGGTATTCAGACCTTTCGTGCACCTTACGCCGCCCTTTCGCGGTCTTTCGCCACTGCAGCAAAACATACACATCCATATCTGCAGATGTCACTCGGATACTAAACGCCTTGCATGGGTTTTAGGACGACTCCCATATGTGATCCATTCCCAGAAAATATGTCTTTAGATATGACGTGATATATGATATGTTATTAATGATGCAAACATAACTCTGGTGGATTCAGAATGAAACATATGTCAGGTTCAGGAAAAACCTGGATTGACCATGTTTTGTGAAAAAATTGGATTGGTCTCCTCAAAAAAATGATTAAATTGAGGGACACTTGATGAAAAAACATCATGACAAAAACAATGATCCCTTCAAACACACAAAAAATATCAAAACATATCCTGGGGTAAACTGACATAGATGATCATAGATGTAGAGTTTTAGCCACCATGAAAGCAGATCATGTTCCCGATGTTCCAAGGGTTTCCCCATGGGTTGTTACAGCCTGCCTCCAGCTTGGCGATGTCCCGCAGCAACCAGGCCACTTGCAGCTCCACCAGGGGAGGCAAAGAACGCCCAGCCAGTTCCCTCAGGTCCTCGCCTGGGATGGCAATGGGTGCAGATTATCTTGGAAGTATTGGAAGAAAGAACTGTTTCACTACGCTCCTGCTGCTGCTGCTGCTGATGATGATGATGATAAAGAGGATGCCATCCTGAGTAAAGCTAAGCCTCGTTTTTCTTTGAAAATAGGATTCCTCAGCAAATACCTTGGCATCTTGAGAGGCCCATGCCATAAAACCTTGCGTATTCCCAACTTGTTTGTCCACGCCACGTTCCAAGCTGCGAAGTTTTGCCACAAGGTCTGCACCAATGCCTGAGTTGTCCCGGTTTGAAGGTCGGAATCCCTACTTGCTGAGTCTACTGCTGTTGGGCCATGGGAGTATGGCAACCATATAGTGTTACAACTTGGAAGTTCAGCCTACCGGTACTAGTATGGATTAGAATCCCTCCTGGTATCGGTGGTGGGATGTGGTGGGTTTCTTTGTCAGAGCAGGTGCCGGCACGTGAGGATGCTGTACCACATGGGCAAGTATAAAGTAGAAGTGGGGACATGAACCACATAAATGTTCCATTTGTCCCAGTGAAAAGGGAACAAGTGGTTCCAATTCTTGTTTTTGTATCGGCTTAAACTGCCACGTAGCAAATAGAGACTTCAAAGCAAGACATACCAAAACAGTTTTCAATTTAAACTACTTCTGTGTCAAACAAACATACAAAATCAAAAGACCTTTAAAGCACCTGAAAGCACAGCCGCGTTACTGCAATGCAAGATCTCAGCAGTAACATCGCGGTTTTGCTGCTCCAAGGACATCGCAGCGCAGTGATTTCAACCCATCTCGACGGGGCACAAACCGGAGCACGGTTTCAGGGTGTCAACCGGCCAAAGACAAGGCCAAATCAGATGTTAGTGGGTTTATGGCTTTCTGATGCTATTATCAAGATTGTTGAATTGCAATTGGTGATCAGGTGTTGGTCCATCAAGATTGTTTCATCCTCCAGTAGTCATGCGGCGTCACACACACCTTGAGTTGTGATGGGACAAAAAAGTGCAGGCTCTCACAAGGTCTCCAAAACTTACATATCAACTTGAGCCCATGCAGAAACCGTGGGCACGTTCAAAGCACATATAATCACATTTGGGTACCTAGAGTATGTCATCACGAAATCTGGGACTACAAGAGAGGAACCTAGTTCTCAGCTAGGCTACTTTGTCCCTATGGAACATTTTACCGGGTTTTTCAAAAAGAAACAACCATCCACAGGAAACCACATAGATACCTTAATTACCCCCGCAACCCCCAACTTCAATGTTGTTCTCGGAAGTGCCGAGCACCATCAACAGAAATGTGTTCTTTTTGAAGCTGCCAAGCACGCAATTTAGAAGACAACATTGAATTGGGGGACGTGGGCGACATGACCTCTATGCTCTGGTACTTCATCGGAGCTGTTTTTTGAAGAACACGGTAACACAAACCTTGGGAAACCAGATCACCCAAAAGTGACACCCTCGCCTTCCTTGCAGGAAGTGGTGGAGAATGAGCCTGGGGGCATTGGCATCATCAGCAGCCGGGAAAAGAAACTTCTGATTCGCGCCTTCACAACCTATTTAAGATTTGAACAGGAAAAGAAGTTAGCATTTGAACATGGACCATTTGAATAGGACACATCAAGACTTGCATTTGTTTGAGATTATTTTCGAAGCATGCCTTCCCACTTTCATGATACCAGGGGTGTCCATCAAGCCATCAGCCGCTGTCCAGCCTCCCTGGCTTGGGATGGTCCACTGTTCTGACCTCAACACCATTTTGGGGGCAAAAAGGGGAGGGATCGTAATGACTACCATCCGTAATTATCACAGGGTCTCCCAAATAAATATATATATATGTATGTATGTAACTGTATATATGTATATAGTTATATATATATATTTGCAGAAAAGTAAATCCCTACTGAAATAGTGAATATAGTGATTATGATTACATTCACTGTTTTATCTTTTTGGTGATGACTAGATTTGCAACTATTTGCTGCCTTCAAGCCATGATCTACAGTATATACAAACATGGGTCGGAATTCGCGCAAGCCTGATCGAAATAAAGAAACCACCCAACAATACTCAATGCATATCCCAAGTACTTAACTCTCTCGTAAGTCTTTCAAGGCGCTTTCACAAATTTTGCATGCTCCTAATAGCCTCTGAGAAGCTGTCTGGACCCTAAATTCCATCCACAAATGCACTCTCAGAAGATGTTTGGAGCTGTTAGGAATAATTCCATCCTTTCCACACACACACACAGATAGATAGATAGATAGATGGATGGATGGATGGATGGATGGATGGGTGGGTGGGTGGGTGGATGAATGGATGGATGGATAGATAGATTAGATTATATTAGATTAGACTAGATAAGATTAGATTAGATTAGATTAGAAAACAAACAGACAAATAGATAGATAATAGATAATAATAGTTAATAGATATCATATATATATATATATTACTGAGTATACATGATATATATTATATATATAAGTAATATATTATGTATAAAGTACAATGTATAATATATAATATGTACATATATATATAATACTAATCTGTTGGACCCCGGAGAGTCCTGTCCTGGGAAAATAACTGGGTTAATTTGTGGGTCCTGAGTCCTGACCTTTCTGACCATTAAAATCATGGTTCCCTGACCTCTCTAGCTAGAATTTACATTCTAAGACGAATGAAGCCTGCAGGCACTAACGTCCTGAGGCCTAAGGTTTCCAGAAGGGCATTTGTTCCCCTCTGATATCAAATAAATTCCTGATCTTGCATATGCAAATCCGTGATTTCAAATTTATTAATTTTGGTAGTGGACTCCCAGGAAAAAAAACTACATCACCAAAATGGGGGTTATATATATATATTATAACCCTGTAACCCTGCTTTTGGATACCTTAAGGGCTTCCACAAATTCGTCCGGTCGCTTCTGAGTCTCCAACCGCGTCTCTCCAGGTCGGGCCTTGGGCATTGATGTTCAGCTTCCAGCAAAAATATCAAAATGTGATATTTGTCCTTGGGAAAACAACAACCATTAATAACAACTACAACATATGGAACATCCTAAGCATATAATATATAATGTAACATGTATATTTACATAATTATATATATATATATACATACGCTATATTCACTGTCATTGTTCATCATTGTGAATCCATCCTCATTTGTAAATCTCTGCTATTTCGACTGCTCAGTTTCTAGCGCGAAGGGATCCCCGTTCCCGGAACGGGCGACGCCGCAGGACTTCAGGTGCATCACCTCGGACTCGGCAGGAGCTCAGGGAAGATGACCACTTAAGGAGGTCGACCTTAATGATCTTAATGGGGAATCCCTAAATCATAAGTTTTAATAGGATGTTCCCTCATAAACATGTATAAACCATACACTTAGAGGTAATCCCCCCAAAAACATGATTGTTGCGATTTACCATGAATTACTGAATTACCCATCAAAAAGGGGGGAACTACCCCGTGTGGCATACCGATCCAATACCCAGTGCCCAACAAACATGGGGATGTAAGAAAAACATAGAAAAACAAATTGATGGTCTAATGACGATGATTTGGAGTACCCCCATTTTTTTTGAAACATCGAGTTACTTTCCAGCCATCGAAACAAATCGAAACTGGGCTTATAGCGGTATTGACCCCAATCCACATTCGAAGCTCGGTCACAGGAAACCCCTCCAATGCAGGATCATACCGCAGTTATTGCCATTCCTTCATGCGGAAAATGACGTTCAAAACATGTCTAAACCCGCACAATTTGGTGGTAATAAGCACCTTTTGGTGGGTAATTTTTTTTTTCTAAACCTCTAATGTCAACATTGAACATATCACAAATGATCATATATGTTCATTATTACTTCAAATATTTCATATATACAATATATTCAATCAACCCCTGCCATCACAACTGCCGTGGGCTTCTCACCAATGCTCGGCCGGCCAACGACCGACCGCATCGAGGACAACCGGAGGCTACGTGGGGCTCCTGTGGAGGCCATGTGGGACAGTTGATCCACAGTTTTTCTCCATGCAATTTATGAATATATGAAAACTACCGAGTTGACTGAGTTTTCAACTTTGAGCAACTTTGTGCAATAAAATCCGACGCCACTGAGGGTCCCAGTAGGGCGCGCAGACTGAGGCCCATGAATCAAACATGTATGCTGTATGAACTGCTGTATGATTCTCACAACATCATGCGCACATCAATATACATCAATATAATTTCAAGAAAACATATATGAATAATTATATATGATATATGTACATAATATGGAAAAGTGAAACTTATTCCAAATAGCCGCCCATCAGCAAAAGGGCAATACAACTCCTGGCTCTCCGACGAATTGGGGCGACTGGTTCCATTCCTCTCGCAGAGTGGCCCGCCAATCCAGCAACAAATGAGATCTTCTATAGGGTAAACCATAGAAAGTGGGCCTCCAAACGATAGTTAAGTTGGTATAAACTCCAATCAACATGGTTTATGACACTTATAACATCTTATAACTCTAGTTTACATGGATGTTTATTGGGGGTCATTAAACCAACTGATCGCTGGCTAACCAACAGCATCCCTTGTCCTTGCAGGCAGTGACTGCTCGATTGGCGCCTGCGAAGAAAGACTGCGACACAGATCCACGAATCTCAAGTGGAACGGTACATCTTCCATTTAACACAGGATACTGTAGATAGACAGGTGCAACAAATATAGAAAGATAGATAGATTAGATGGATTAGATAGATTATGTGTTGAAAAGTCGTGGAAGCTCCATTTTTCAAAAAATGTTGGATGCTTTCAAAAGATGAAACACATGCTCTTGGATGAAGCATGATGAAGCTCGATTTTTGGGATACAAAGCGTTTTACTGATTGCGTCAATTTTCGGTTGATTTGTGTTGGTTTGTGGATGATACTTGACGCTTGTTGCAAATCTTTCACTTGAAACTCACAATGGCCTGTAATAAATTAACAAATATACAATGTATTACAATATTAAAAACACAGATTTCAAATTTTGAGTCTCAGTATGCCCCAGTGCTCATAATCTAATCTAATCTAACTGTCTGTCTAACCTATCTACAAGGCGGTAGTTTTAAGCTGGTTTATAACCCTAAATAAACGCACATAATATGTATATATACATATAAATATGCCATAAACCCTAGCTATTGGAGTTACGTGCGCAAACTTAGCCAACTATGGGGCACCACATTGTCACCACGCGGCTCGCTCCGCAGTTCGCTCCGCAGCTCGCCTCGAATCTCTTTGGAACACTGCCACCACGGCGCGAAGGACCTGCATCAAACAGGCGAATGGTGATGTGGATGTTCACCTGCCCTAATGGTCCGACCACCCTCAAAGTCAACTGGTTCGTGGTTTTAAGCATCTTGAAACTTATTAGTCAATGGGAAGGATTATCCCACATATCATGGAACATAAAAAATGTTTTTAGCCACCAACCAGTCAAACATAGTCAAACAATGGTCACATAATCCATGTTACGCGCGGAGAACGTGCTGAAGCATTAGCCTCTTAACCCAACAGGTTGCCATGGAAAATCGCACATCATTCCAGGTGAGAAAAAGAACCCAAAATCACAATGCATAAGGAAACATAAAGAAGCATAGTCACTACCCACCCCCCAACAAAAATAGAAGGGTAAATTATCATTACATTTGTTAGTTTCACTGTTCTATATCTCTATGCTTGTGGGGTTTGGTATACTAAATATATATATATATAAAATATGTGTGTGTGTGGTGGTTTTATAAAATGGTGGGTACCCCCAAATCATGCACAACTTGAGCATTTTACTCGTGACCAACCGACTGGTGACTGGTGATCCCCCTCCTGAAGGTGCTGGAGTATCCTTGAAATCAGCGGATGCAGAACCTGGGCCAGAAATCCGATGTCAATGGGGTGTGTCAATGGGGAAATCATCTACAATTCCATTGATCCCTTGATATCCCTTGTATGAATTTCACTTCTATCGGACTGTTTGTAAGTAAGTTCTGTTTCTGTCTCAAGTTTCAAGGGAAAAGCCAGCAACACATCCGGATTCAATCTCTACTGGTCATTTCGATTAATGGACGTGCTACGTATAGGCAATCGTTCTGCAACGGACGCGGATTGCAGTTCTTTGACTTCGCTCCCGTGATTCTAGGTGAAACATGGACCGCACGCGGCGGCTCAGATTGACAGAGACCTGACATGGGGTGCCAAAAGCAAAAGGACATGGTTGGTAAATGGGGTAGAACTGAACCAAAGAGGTATTCCCTATATTTCATGGGGATTTCATGGAAGAATCCTCCAATTACTGGGATATAACCTCTGGTAAAATCACCATCTTGAATAGGAAAGTCATTGATAAGGGCCATTTCCATGGTAAACTGAGGGTAACACCAGTATAGTTCCACCATAAGCTGTTGAATAGACATTCACCAAGCATTTGCGAAACATTTCGTAGTTCATGTCCCAGTGACACATGCCATCTCTTTACGTCAAGCTAGGATTGAATGGAAGAAATGTCTGCTGATCCCCTAAAAGGTTAACCCATCCAGCGGAAACTGAGGGAATATGAGGGAATGATGGATTTAAGATGATTTAAATCATGGACATCCATGATTTCCCAATGGATTTCCCATTTAAGATTATTTAAATCATGATTTCCCAAGGGTGTCATGGACATCCATGGACATCACCAGCGGCCCCAGGATGCCCCAGGCCTTTGTCTCAATCATTGATCTTCTGAACCTATGTAGGGTCATGTTGTGAAGTTTCCGCGGCTACTCATCATCAACATTCTACGTTCTTCGTCGTCGACACATGGTGTACATGTGTTTTTTTGTCATCTCGCCATCACTATATAAGAGTTCTTTAAAATTGGACCAAATTGGCAGAGTATATTGATCCCTATGAATGGATTGATGAGCGGCTGACCACCTGTTCAGCCCCTGGGTAAAAAGTCTCATGATGTCTCATGTTTTGAGGTGGAATTGACCTCTGCATTTTCTGGAAGCATTTTGTGGTTTAGGGCACCCTGTGCACAACAATGACACATCATCAAGAATAATCACCCATGAAAGTGTATACGAATTATATAGCACCCCCCCCAAAAAAAAGATGGAGCAGTATACAACCTCAATGTAAATAGTCAATACATCATGAACACTGACTTTTCTATTATCTATATTAATATGATGGTTATATTTACGATATTTAATATATATATATATTTATACATAATTATATATATATTATAGATATATACATCAAATTACCACATCAAACCCCGCCTTCCGACTCGCCAGATCCTCCCATCCTGACGATTTTTTTGTGACATCTAGCGGCATGGCTGGGCGCATCTAGCAGCCTTATAGCCTGATCTACTACGGCAAGTCACGATGTTATATGATGTTAAATCATGTGTATCTGTTTATTCAGTATTATATACTATCATGTATATTATGACTATTCAGATTAAAATATTTAGTATTGTTGTTTTCATTATCATAATTATTATTACTACTATTTAGTGTGCGTCATATATCCCATTGCGCATGGCATATCCTTTAATCTTGGTAAAGCAATATGATCCATCATCCCCAAATCTACATTTTTTATGGGTGAGATTGAAACCATCAAAACATTGGTGGTGTATCAAATTTCTTACTAACATTAAAGATAATGAACTGCAGGGGGAAATAACTTATAAGACTATAAAATAGTATGCATATCTATAAGGCCTGTAATATCGCACAATATCACAATGAGAACATCAGAATGGCGCAGGGATTGTCAATCCAATTATAACCATTCTCCCTGGCAGTCTAACATATATATTAGATTGCCATCGAAAATGACCCATCTCTAGATGATTTGCCCATACTGTCCTAGGGTGATTTTCCATAGCTATCTTCATCCCCATTTTTGTTGGTTAAATGCCATTCAACTCCACCAATCCACCAAAAGGAGACCTGGAGGATTCCCTGCCTGATGGTCTCCTTGGGAAAGCGGGCATTCTGCGCACAACGAACTCGACACAGCGCCGCAGCATCATCCAAGATCTCTCCTTGGATATGTTGGGATCATCCTGAAGGTGGGCAACAAATTCAATAATTATTCAGGAACTGCCTCGGACTTAATATTCCACCTAAAATCACAATCAATATTCTCTAAATACGTCCAAATCCGCTCGGAAATGCTGCTCGAAAACTTCTTTGGATCATGATCCTAAAAGTGGAGATTCCCCAAGGAAATACCCAGGACAGTGGAAAGTTGGGATCATTATCGTAAAGGTGGATACTCCAAAGATCTCCCCACCAACCTGTCAAGAACCACCCAGGGGAGGCCACACCAAGGGGTCAAGCATCGGATCGTCGCATGCTCGGAGAGGGCGCATTTCTCAGGTCGGAGAAGGCTCGAAATGAACAAGCCTCACGAGTCGAGGTCTCTGGAGGTGGAAGGTGACATCTCAGACCTTAAATGTGGCAAGCCCAATGCCGTATATAAATCACCCCCAAAAAAAAACGTCATGGGTGGTACTGCAAAGATCATCTGCCCAAATGGGAGACTTATTGGGTTCCTCACATTAGATACCCTGCGCCTTTTGAGTCAATTTCAGCAAAATATCCATGCGCGGCTGCAGGCTACAAATAGTTCTGGGTTCACCATGTCGTTTGAAGCTTGGCAGGGGCAGGTTCCGCTGTAGACACGTTTGCTTTATGGATCAAGGAAGCAAACACCCCAATTTGATCTCCGCCTTTGTTGATCCTCTTCAAGTTGTTGTTCTTTTTATCGATAATACCTCAGGCATCGCGCTGCATTCTTTGTGCCGCGATGGAATAACAAGGGAACATCGAATCCTTGCAGGATTTGTTTAACATCACCTTCCAGATCTGAAACCCTACACGAAGGGCCCACCAGAGTTTGAGTTGCTCAAAATGACCACTGCACCGCCGAGTCTGCTCAAATAATTCAAATACTGCGGAGGCGTATGTTGTTCTAATCCAATCTAGCCTAGCTGTAAATCAACATATGAGATATCATTGATACTATATTACAGCAAAAATGGGGGATCCCCAATAAAAACGGCCTGCCATCAAGCGTCTATTGAACTTGTCGACCAACTCTTTGATAAACTTGTCGTGCTGCTTCTGCAGCTCTGCAATAATCCTGGGAAGACTGGACGGCACGGCAGCGTTCATCGTGATCCCTTACGCGCATCAAAAAAAAGTCAAAAAAACAATGGGTTACAATTTACAACATGGGTTGGCGGTACATTCCCATCCTACTTTTGGTTGTTTTGATCACCAACTATATATGTATATATATGTTACATAACAGTTGAAAAGATTGTTTTTGAATGTACATCATCTTCCACTTTCAATCTGAGAAACGACCATTTCCTACCATTTCACGCATGTCAGGCACAGGCAACCACAACATTTATACACATACAGCATGAACAAAGAATCATGCCAAACCCCAACCATTACAAGACCTGAAGGAAAATATGCCCTGTCACAACCTATCCAAAACCATAGCTTCACCAGACCATCCGGGTCTAACATGAAATCTGAAGCTGGGCTGATGAAATGCAACAAGGGAGCCGATCTGCCGATGCATCCAGTGACTCCGGATCTTGAGGTTTCCAATCATCCTGGCCAGTGGCACCAGCGTATAGTGCAATGGATCAACACCCCCCAAAGAAATGGAGGGGTTGCAGAACTTCCCAGTTGGCCATTGCGAAACGTTGTGTTTCAAGAATTGGCTTGAACACTTGCAGGGTTGCTGCACTTGTAGATATTGGCACATGAAAGCAACTGAAATAGCTCACACAGGCACAGAAAGACCGGCAATTTAGTTAAGCTACCAATCGCATCCAATCTCTGGCATGAAACAACCAACCGAAATGGTTCCCCAAACAACTACAAATATACCCACAGTAAAGAAACTAGTAATAACATATACAATGATACCATAGTACCGCCCCCAAATTCCACTATGGATCACAGCAATGACCACAGATCCGATATGTCAAGATGTATCAACTGTAGCACCTCTTCAGGCTCTCGGCTCTTTAAAAGTTCGTGCAGCTCATCTGGGTCCATTTGAGGCAGGGCACCCTTGATGTAGTCCTGGAAGCAGTGGGATGGCAGCGATTCTGTTGCTGCACAAACCCCGTGTCCGCACGTGTGTGTGTGTGTGTGAAAGTTCAAACCCTGTTTTGAAAACACCAAAAGAGCTTTAATTACTGGAGGGTACAATGAGTTGGTCCCAGTTGTTACTGTAATGGTTTCAGGCTATAGAAATGCTCATACCTTAGCAACTCCCCAAAATTCTGCCAAATGTATCTTCGTCTTTTTTTTCTCGTTACGCAACCGTTCTTGTCTCTTAAAACGTCTTCCACCCCAGAAAAACACCCCGCTCTCGCTTGTATTTGCTCTCTAAGCCTTGGCTATATATTACATATATATATATATACATATGTATATATAAACACAAATGCAAAACGTCCCATCTTCAACTCCCCTCCCAGGAATAATATGCAAATATGTACAAGTCCATATCTACATATGTTAGTCTGGAGGGTATATCCCCAAAATTTGCATTGCCGGGTAAAAGCGACACATACCCCTTGATATACTTCCTTACCACGAGGATATCAAATACCACCCTTTAAGGAACCTGGCTAAACCTGGGAGAAACATGGTAAGCCTATTCATTTGGAGTTTCACTAAATCAATCACACAATCAAAACATTAAAATGATATACGAGCAGATATTCAAACCAAATATCAAGACTCATCAAGATATATCAAAACATATCAAGACATATCAAGACTTATCAAAACTTATCAAGATATATCACTATATATCAAGACATATCAGGACATATCAAGACACAACAGGACATATCAAGACTTATCAAAATATATCAAGATATACCAAGACTTATGAATACTTATCAATACTTATCCAGACTTATCAAGAAAGATCAAAATATATCAAGACATATCAAGACTTATCAAGACTTATCAAGACATATCAAGACTTATCAAGACTTATCAAGACTTATCAAGACTTATCAAGACATATCAAGACTTATCAATACTTATCAAGACTTATCAAGACTTATCAAGACATATCAAGACTTATCAAGATATATCAAGATATATCAGCATATATCAAGACATATCAATACTTATCATGTCTTATCTAGAATTATCAAAACTTATCAATATATATCAAAACATATCAACATATATCAACATATATCAAGCCATATAAAGACTTATCAATATATATATATATCAACATATATCACCATATATCAACATATATCAACATATATCAGCCATATCAAGACTTATCAAGACTTATCAAGACTTATCAAAACTTATCAAGATAGATCAACATATATCAAGATATCTTATCATATCAAATTGTTGCCGAGTTAAGCCCATCTTCCAGCCCATCCCCTGGAACCATGTCCCGCAGAATCTGTAACCGTCCACAATGGTCATCCAAGGCTTCTCGACGGCCATGAGCCTCCTCTGCTTCCAGCGCCTGAGGAACCGGGACCTGGACCTGGGACCTGGGGCCTGGTGGTTTCCTGGATTCATAGTGGCTCAGAGTGAATGGGAAATCAGGCTGGGATCAGGAAAACTCACTCACCAAGTACATAATGGAGATGAATGGACATGATCATTTTGTATAGAATAGTGTTATAGTTATATATATATAATACTGGGTTTAATGATGTTGCCGTGGTTTACCCGGGGAATCCTAAGGGGGTTGCAACCTCAGTTGTAAGTAGGGTAAAGTAAGGTTAATCACAAAAACACAACCTTATTGGTAGATGGAGTAAAATGGAGCACTTTTTCTATGAACATCTTAGCCACCCTGATATTCATGAACACATTCTTCAATATATATATATATATATATATCAATATATATATATATATGTATAAAGGAAACAAATGGGTTTATATTCCACTCATGATGGGCAAATACGATATCATATATTATATTGTATAATGTATCCGTATATATATATTATCATTATCCATTACAATCCATTCAGTTATCTATAATTCATAAAATCTCCAATTCGGAAATTTTGAGCTCAAGCCCATCTTTTTTTGCCTGTCAGGTCACCGCCAGCAGGTAGGATCACAAGAGGTTACCCAGGTGATCCAACCGTGGTTTCATGAAGTTTCATGGTACTCTCTCTTCAACCCAACTGCATTTTTCTATGAACACTGTTTTATAGATGAGTTCTTTTAAATGCAACTTTCCATCACACCGGAAAACATGTGTGCCTTTGGGGGGGAAAGTAGAACTTATGAATAAGGCATAGTTGGATATAGTCAGAAGCCCGGATATGGATGATCTAAAGTACCATCCACATGTATGATGCCCTAGCCCAGCCAGTCACAATCCTACCGTAAAGGCCGCCCCAAAGCGCCTTGGCTGTCTTTGGTCTACCCTTCCGCTCCACGACTTCCCTGAGCTCTGCAATGTGTGCATCGCTGTCCTGCTGTTCCTTCCTTGGCGCCAGGCCCAACTTTGCAGGTGATCACTGGAATTCCTATGGATACGGTCCAGGGCCAGGCTTTTGTTCATCAACACAATGAACACATCCCCGTTAGTCACAACGAGTGCGAAGCCAAGAATCTCAATGCCTTCCTGCAAATCTTTGACTTGTTGCACCTAATCAAATGCCCAGCCAATGCACAAGCTCAACACCTTTCCGCATGTGTCATGTCTCAAAAAATGTAGGCGGTCCCACAGCCAAGGGTTTCATAGTGTTTTATTGCAATCGGAATCCAAATTGCACCAGGAATTGATAGGCATTGCTGCTTCTTTTGTTGAAGGTCATCCTTTTTGTCATGTTTTTTCATTTTTTTTCCTGTTTGGATAGCACCTGCTGTTTGGCCTTCTGTCGCCATTGCTGGAGTTCCATAAACTCCTGCTGCCGGCTGTGATTCTTTGAGCCGGTGTTCTTAATCTCCAAGCCTGCCTTCATCAACAAAACCCAACATATCTGGATGATGGATCTGTAGTCTGGGGCGCATAATTGGGAGCTCATATACCATATCAATCCATATCATTATCCAATATTGTTGTGGGATTGATTGATTTTGACAGTTATGGATTGTTATGGGACATGAGATGATTATTATCATCCATGTTCTTGACTGTTCTTCCATACATAAAATACAATGGCATTTGTTGCCGCAACATCAGTTTTTCGACGGGCGTCCAGCCACAGAAATGGCATCGCGGCAGTCCTTCTCTGCACTCCCAAGCTTCTCTGAAATCTGATTGTTCTCAGCTTCTCCTTGGGTGTGTCGAGGGGATCTGTTGCATCAACTGGACGTCGCAAGATGTGTGGCCTTTGTGGGAACAAACAATGTAGCCCGGTTATCAAACCTGGTTTGCTCCAAAAGTGTCTTTAGGTTTATGAAAACACATCAAAACATATCTTCAAATGTGGAATTTCTATTGCCAAATGGAATTCCTCGAGGGTACCGCCTCGTTCTTATCGTCTATAGACAAGGCTCGGAGTTGAACCTTCTTCTTCAACTCTCCATGTCGAACCTTTGCAGAATTCAGACTTCGTTTGCTGCTCCTGTGCTGTCGGCCGAGAACCTATATTCAAGCACCTCAACATCTCCCCAAGCATCCACTGGTCAAGTTTCCGAGTAGCAATAGTAGCAATCGGAACTTCAGATTCAACTTTTTGTTCATGTCATTTCCACCACGAAAAATGGAGCCCCTGTTGTATGATTCCAATAGTTGATCTATGTTGATCCTCAGTCAGTCCTCAGCTCTGCGTCCAACTGACCGCAGTCCTGGCAGATAGCCAAACAGTACCAGAAATGGGTTGTTTTCTAACCATCCCCCGTTCTGCGAGGTTTATCATTGGGGTTACCATGGGTTACATATCCCCTTCAAATGGCCAAGAATTAGGGCCACCGACAGGATCACAAGAGTACGCGAGGTGACCGTACCTTTTTTTCCATAATTGCTGGCCCCCCAAGAACTGGGAAAAGAGTTCAAATGAGTTTTCATCCTCTTACTGGAGTTGCTCCATACCTCTTGTGGAGGCCCCTGTCTGTTCCACAATAAATTGTGTGTTCCCCCCATAGTTCTCATATGTTTTTGCACCCTATTCTAGATTTTTGCGTTCTATGATGTTCTATGTTTATTTTCCATGGTCACTGCAAGAAATCCTACATGTAATGAACTTATGTATGTATGTATGTATGTATGTATGTATGTATGTATGTATGTATGTATGTATGTATGTATGTATGTATGTATGTATGTATGTATGTATGTATGTATGTATGTATGTATGTATGTATGTATGTATGTATGTATGTATGTATGTATGTATGTATGTATGTATGTATGTATGTATGTATGTATGTATGTATGTATGTATGTAGTGTATGTATGTATGTATGTATGTATGTATGTATGTATGTATGTATGTATGTATGTATGTATGTATGTATGTATGTATGTATGTATGTATGTATGTATGTATGTATGTATGTATGTATGTATGTATGTATGTATGTATGTATGTATGTATGTATGTATGTATGTATGTATGTATGTATGTATGTATGTATGTATGTATGTATGTATGTATGTATGTATGTAATGTAATGTAATGTAATGTAATGTATGTATGTATGTATGTAGTAATGTATGTATTAATGTATGTATGTATGTATCTATCTATCTATCTATCTATCTACCATTATCTACCATTATCTACCATTATCTACCATTATCTACCATTATCTACCATTATCTACCATTATCTACCATTATCTACCTATCTATCTATCTATCTATCTATCTATCTATGTATCTATGTATGCATGTATGCATGCATGTATGATCATGTATGCATGTATGTTTGTATGTGTGTATATGTGTATGTTTGTATGTTTGTATGTTTGTATGTGTGTACACCAAACCTCCCACAATGATAAACAAAACACAACAACCCAGCCCCAAAGCTGTTAACAGAAGATATTGTGAAATATGTAAGCATGCATGTACAAGTACACACAATTTAATTGTAATTCAAAATCCTTCCAAAGTTTCGAAGACAAACTGCAAAATGAGGATGACAAAAGTATATAATTAGATAATCTATCCTGCTTCTGTCACTGTCATCCTCTTTTAGTTCTATAAATTTCTATATTTTTTACGGGGCTTTTTCAGCCCTTCACCAAGGTCTACCATATCGACCACCAGGGATCGGATCATCCCAAAAACACCAGGACCTCATCGGCGTTATCAAAATTTTCATAGAACATCATAGAACCATCGAAACCGCACAGATAATGCGGTAGCAAAATGTAGCAAATAATTGTGAGAATTCAATACAATTCAGCTTTCGAAACCTCTCTGCTCTGGATCCCTCTGGATTCCTCTCCTTTCGAAGCTCCTGCAATTCAGCTTTCAAGACATGGATCTCCTCAAGCTCAATGGGCCTGCCACGGCGCGCATGGAGGTAGTTTGGCACTGGTGGGAGCCCGTACTGAGATCGGCCTACTGATCTGGTCATCATTTATGGCTATTCTGCTTTTATCTTGGCCATCTATTTATTGTCAATTTCGAGCTGATCTGACCTACTCTCACTTAATATACATTTATATACTGCATTCTTTTTGTTATATAAAAGTCTACGCACAAGAACTGCCAACTGGGAAAGGATCAGCCGATGACCCAGCAGCCGTCAGCCTCTCCATCAATTGACCATCAGCCATTATGAAGCTTGTGCAGCAAAACTGGGAATCATATCAGAGGTAACGAAATGATGGATGCAGTTGTGGTGTTTGTATGTGTGCGTCTTATGACCTATGATTTTGCGATCAAAAGAATGAAAAACCAGCATAAAACAACGATGAATTTTGTGCCGAAAATGGGCACAAGCAGGTGATTTTTGTTTCCGAGAGCCTTCCTCAATGCTTTTGAACGAGGAACACAATCGAACACGTGTTCGTGGGGTGGTTTTCGATTCTAGCAGCTTGACCCTGTTTCGGAGCCTGTGCCGTCAGCAAATATCTAAACTCTAAACCAAAATGGCCACGACATCAAAGAAAAGACATCAGCGGCAAACGCTGAACCATAGAATTGGCCAAAATTCAAGAAATCCGAAAATTCTTACAAGGAATGCAGTGTTTTGATACGTGCAAAATCACCAAGAAATGACAGAACAATTGAAACCCATGTCAAGCTACAGAAAACGACAAAAAATATATGCGTGTGTATATATATATATGATATTATATAATGTGGTCATTATATTTTATGCATCTGTTTTTGGCAGAATTCATGAAGAGTCACTCTTTTCCAAGCACTTTAACTCATCAAAATACCGCTGAGCAAAGACACGTGGTACTGGCCGGGGCCGAGTGCGATCCTGTCGCTGGGTGCGGTCCTGGACAGATCCAGCGTCGCGTGACCGGGGGATGACCGGGGGATGGTGTGGCCTAAGCGCCAAGGTATAGCAACTCCTCTCCCCCATAAAAAAGGAACATCCTACCACAATAAATGGTAAATAAATGGCTTTTTGGGACTTAATCTGTGCCAAGGTCTTGAGATGTCTTGAGTCTTGAAATGCTTTTGAATCTGTTGAATCTGTTTTATCTGATGTTATTCAATTCTTTAGGTACTTTTCATTCCATTCTGGCCCCAAGAAGTCCCATGAACATCATGAAGGTCTTCAATGCAGGCTGACAGTCCCCGTCCCCACAAGGTGGGGGACCTGCAGGCCCCCAAGATAGCTTGACAGGACCAACTGGCTTTGGTTTACGGATGTTTACGGTAGATATAACTGAAAATATGATATAACATGATATAACTATAGTTCATGAATGTTATAAACCAACTTATCATTGGGGTCCACCTTGGACTCCATATATTTTCATGGCAGGTCACTGCTTCAGGTGCAGAGGTGGGAAGTCCGACCTCCTCACCTTGATGCAGCTGGGACTGAGTTTTTACAAATTGATTCTTCAATGTAGCACCAACCTCTCCAAGCTCAACTGCAAAACAAGGTGGGCTGTCAACATCAGCTGCTGAGGGCGGTGCTTAGGGGCTGCGCAACATCTGAATTCCATTCCTCAGCTCTTTCTGACTGACAGCAGGTTCGCGAAAAAAATGGTCGCCATCATGCTAATTGGTCGTGAGGGCTCAAGTTGTCCATTGCAAGCAATGCACATCTGTGTGGTTAGAGTTGCCAAACACTCCATGAATTACAGTATATGCGCCGTTATATCATCAATATATTAAGGGATATATGTGCTTGGTTAAATCCGACTATTCAAATACTATTCATATGATTCAGCCAGCCTCCCTCAAGGTGACCTCCAACAATGAGGGCCTTTGACAATTGACCATTGGGGTGGTCACATTTAGAGGTGGCTGGTTAAATCCACATGATGCACCCTCCTGAAGTTTAACACATGTTTTTGAAGTTTCCATTTTTAATATGTAAATCACTGTGAATCAGATTTTTATGGACCATCCATCTATATCAGAGCTATGTCAAATTACCTGAGAGTAATTGGTGAAGCGCTTCCGACCTGACTCCGTCCGTCGCCCAGTCTCCGCCCTGGGTGCCACGGGTGCCGGCCGCCGTGGCTTCGGCGCAGGCGGTGCTGCATCGCGGTCCGCGCGTGGCTCCGTGGGAACGGAGGGGCGAGGTGGACGGCGGCGGCTTGGCTCCTGGACGCCAGACGTTCAGCCAGTTACCAGCCATTTATATCATATATATCCATTTATAACTTGATATAACTTGCACTTCCTGGATCTTCCTGGGCATTGGAATGGATTGGAAAATGATTGGAATGTATTGGCACAATGCAAAACCTGAAATTACTATCTAACTGGGATGTAACATTGGGAACGTTGAATGTTGGAATTCTCGGGGGTTGGAAGACCTGAAGATCTGTGCTACCCGGGAAAGCACAGACATGTCTCAGCATCAGAAGATCCAGTGCCAGGAACCCTCCTGGTGACTTGACATAGCTATGGAAAATGACCCTTTTAGTTCGATGTAAAAATGATGATTTTCTATAGCTATGTTACCCTCGCAAACTAACATCGATGTGGAAAACCCACCATTTGTAGATATGTTTTGTAGGGGAACCATGGGTTTTCCACATCTGTATTGGTTTCCATGGGGTAAATGAATGGTCAATTACAAAAGCTGATCCTGGCACTCCTCGACCTCACCCTTCCACTTCATCAGGCCTCGAAATCGGTGATGCAATGGATTGATGTGAGGGAAAATCATTGAAAATCAACAGGAAACCATGGTTTTTGCCATCAAATATCTCGAGGTTTCCTAAAATCGGGCTACCCCCAAATCATCAAATCATCCAAGTCATGGATATGGATGACCATTTTAGAATTGAAACGCATGGTGACTTGTGGATCCCCATTTTAAGAACCCCCCATGTTGGGTTCGTGTAGATTTCCGCTTCAACCAATTCTGGGAGTGATGGTAGGCGTTTGGCCAGAAAATACTGTGGTTATCCTAAGCGCACTTGCGGCACTTGCAGGTGCTGACACATGAACGATACAAAGTCAATGTGAAGTGTCCACACAGTTTACCATATGGTGTCAATTTTAATAAATATCACACAATATCACGGCATTGTCTCGAAAGAGGTGAGGATGGAAAAAAAATGCTGTGGGGACAGTTGCGGCAACAGTGTGGCTGTAGTTGCTGTTGCGGCTAAGGGCAAACACATCGACATGATTTATATAGTTGGTCACACGTCATGAAGTTGTTCCCCCGTGCTGACCACAAACATGTTATGCACCAGATTCTTTTTTTTTTGGGGTGTGTACATGTCCCTGTGGGTTATAGTGATATTGTGTGAATATATTGTCGTGTTGGATGTTGAATTTTCTGGTACATATATAATTGCACGTGCAAGAATATATTCATGCATACGGAACATTGATAGATACGATGCATGTTTGTGACCCATCTACCTGCATATAATTATATATATATATGTATGTTTATATGAGCAAGTTGTATACATATAATATTTAATCATATGAAGGTGCAGGTGTATATGTAATATATAATCGCATACATGCGCACATAGATTTTAAAAAATCAAACGCACATGAATGTCAATCACACTCAGATCAAATAAGATGTATACACAACGCAGCCGTGTGATGACAGCCGTGGGGCGCAAGGGCGGCGGCGCATCTTCGCTCAAAGGGGCACCCTCGCTGGCGTCCCAAGAACCTTGATGACGCCTCAGCCGGTGCGGCCAAAGGAAGCCCCAGCTTTGAAAAATGGGATTCAAACCATCAAACACGTGGATATTTGGGGTTTAACATGGTTTAATTAATTATGAACAACATCTGCATATTTAGCGGTTTACTTATTGAAACTTACTGATATTTTGGGTTCAGGTTCACCATCAAACATCTTGATGTTATATCAATGGGTTGATTTGAGGGAAACCATGGTGTTTAGCCTGGATCCTGCGAATTCCAACTTGTTCTGACTCACGAACCTGCTGAAGGATCCCACCAATCTTAACAAGTTCATCTATGCTGATGTTGTCCGTTTTGGTCATTGACATATGCCGCCAACAACGACGACGGCGAGGATGAGAACAAGAACGAGAACGACAACAACAACAACAACAACAACAACAACAACAACGACGGCGGCGGCGGCGACGACGACGACGACGTCGACCAAGACAAAGACACAGACAAAGTCAAAGTCAAAAACAAAGGGATATTGTATGGATATGATAAGGAAACCAAAATATATGATCTGCTTGGTGGTTGAGCCAAGTAAGAACCAAGAGCTTGCAGCTTGCCGAGTTTATCCTATCTGCTTCATACAGAATCTACGCGAATCGAGAATGTATCGTTCCATTCCGTTCTGTGCCCAGAATTCACAAATCTGAGGGCCCTAAAGAAGGACTCTAAATGAATCTAAATCATATAAGGCCTTCAAAAATCTTCAATATCATTTGCCTTTCACAATCAAACAAATGGACGTTTCCTAAAATGCGGGTAATTACCCTCATATCATTCAAAATCAATCATCTTAATATTGAAACCTATGTGCTTTAAACAAAAACTATTTTAAGAAACCCCCATATATACAGAAGGTGGAAAAACAAACATGTTGAGTTAAGTTCATATTAATAAGCAGCCCGAATTAATCAACACCCACACTCCTAAGAATGTTGTTTGGCAATACAACTTTGGGTTGGTCCCTCCCTATTAATAATCATGTGCGACCTCCCTGTTAAGCAACACCTTGCTCAGGAATCCTAATTCTGTGGTAGTCAGAAAATATGTGTTTTTTATTTTTTAATTGATTTAATTGCTTTTTACTTGTTGAACAATTTTGTCTTGAAGAGATGTCACATGCCCAATCTCACCATCTCTTCCAATTGGGAGTAGGGTTGCCAATCTCGACCCATTGGCAGGCAAGTAAGCCCTAGTTTTTTGAATTGGGGGGGCTCTTACCTTCTAGCAGGGTTACTAATACGAACTTGGCGTATCTCCAGCCCCCGCAGCCCAGGCCCCGGGTCCCAAACGGCGGCCGGCCCAGCTTGGAGCGAGGCTTCGGTCGGCTCACTGGCTCCGACCTGCACGGGCGGCCATCCCAAGCTCCGAACTTGGTGGGCTATACACACGAAACGTCTGCATCCCATAAAAAAATGTATTGTCACCATAAGAATGCTGCTTCTGTTTTACCCCATGAGTTCAATACTTTTCCATTTTGGGGGTG